CCCCCCCCCTCTCCCCCCCGCGGTTTGTCTTGAAAGCGAAAAAAACCTCAAGGAGTCCATCCGCAAAGCGCCTTGGGCTGTCGTCGTAGTTGTTGCCTTCACACTAAAACCCGTTCGTTCTCCTCTCAGCAATTTCGGTACTGGTCCAACTGACGCAGACGCCTTCCGTGGTCACAAGCCAAACACAACTACTTACCCATAGAGGGCTATGTACAATGAAAAAAAAAAAAAATGGACCCGCTGCCGGTACAAACCTTGTTGACCCTCTACGGGGGTGGCCACGCCGTATCACGACACAATTGCTTCTACCAACGGTCGGCACGCACTGTGCTACAAGTTCTCTCTCGGCACAGATGCGCACCAACAATCAATACAGTGTGGAAGGGGGCTGCATACTGCCGGTGTGCCCTGAGAGCTGACGGCGGCACTACACCGGCACTATTCGCGTGTGCGGCCGCCCAATACATACACCGGCAGAATTTCGGGCACCGTTACTAACACGGAATAGGGTCGGCCAAATGTACGACGATACGCCCTGCCGTGCGTGCGCTCACCCGATCACGCGACTCGCAAAAAGAAATCAACAGCTATCACGCTTTTGTACATACGGTATGCACATCTGACAACAACCCGGGGATCCCGTTTGAGGTGCACCCGACGGACAAAGTTACTCGCCATAGAGCCATCTCTGCATGAAGCAGTCTAGTGGCGTCGAATGCATAGCCCGCGGTATCCCGTCGCCAGATAGACCCGACAGACAACGTTACCCCGCCAGCGACGAAGACGATATTTTTCGCCGACGTTCATGCGTAGCCATTGGCACGTTGCGCCCCGCGTCGCCAACACCACAAACCGAAACATCATCCTCCCACAACCCGAACCCCAAAACCTTAGCACGGCCAGCTTCAGCGAGCATCACGGCAACAACAAGCTGGAAAAAAACCGGACCACATCAGGCGATCCAATCACGTGCAACAACGAGGCGAACCGCCGCCCAAATAGGAAGCGGGCCGCAGAACGGAGACACAAACACGGCCATCAACAAGGCAACAACGCGGATTCCGTGCGACATCATCCTCCCCCTCCTCCAACAAGCCAAAAAAAAAACACCCTCACACACGAACTATTATCGTGGTAGCGCTATCCTGTTGTCATGGACTACTACTTTAAGTAAATCGCAACGCCCGTGAAGAACCCCACCGTCAAAAGATTGAATGTGAGTGGTATCCTGTACTAGGCTACACTAGTAGTTTACAAAAAGAAATGAATACTCGGCGAATGAGAGCAACAAAAGGTAGGACTTCCCACCTCTTCACCTTAACTACGGAATAAAATTAGAAACATACATATATGAATGACCGGCCTTCAAACGGTCCAAACGACGGTCAATATCCGAATGAACGACTAGACATCACGTCTACAACAAACAGTATTACATCATATTGACTACATTGGGGTCCCCCGAATACGGCGGAGGTGGGGCAGCTGATAATGACCGAAAAATATGGGGCAACCGCCTTGGTTGAACAACTTTATTCTGCCGTCAATGCCAGCCAATTTCACCCGCCCTAAATAGGGTTACCGCCTTGTTCGGAGACCTCCACTGAAATAATAATTATATGGCACTCGCACCCGTGGCCTAAGGGCTACGGCTCCCCCACCCCGCCGCGCTACAGCACCTCCTTCGTCCCAGATGCAACACGGACAAACACGGTGCCAACAAGGGGATAGTTGTCATCACGAGCCCATTATCAATCAACTGAATACTTCCAAAACGAACAACCAACAACAAGAAGGGGTGAAGGTGGCACATAGCAACTCCCAAGCCCCTGGACATCCTCAATGAGCTGCATCGGCCCCAAACCGGAAGGTACCCTCCAAAACAAGCAAAAAAACATGGGAGGAAGGTATGTGGCACATCGCAACTCCAAGTCATCTTGCCACCCTCTATGAGCTGCATCGGTCAACACCGCCTCCAAAACAAGCAACGAAAAATGGATGAGCGTGGAACGTCGCAACTCCCAAGTCCCTCTCGCCCTCTATGCGCAGCAGCGTCGACCAAAAACGCCCTGCCAATATGGTGCAACACCCCGCCAATCTCCGCCGGCAAACCTTTGTCTTGTTACAATACTCATCTGCAGCCCCCCGCAACCAACAGCTATTCACAGCTGCAAAGGGCGTGTCGCCGAGCGCGGGAGAAGCAAGGTGTATTCACACGGCTTCGTCTCCGACGTTTGCTGCGCCGGAGGCGGGTGTGGCGGCGGCGGCGGTGGCGGGAGAGCCCAACTGTTCGGCGTTGCTGTCTGCGCTTGTGGTGCTGGCGTTGGTGCCACCGCCGTCGGCGGTCTCGCCGTTTTCGGAGCTGTTTCGAGGCTCCGACGGGAGCAGCAGGCTGGACTTGCAAAGGGGGCACCAGGAGTGGCCGGGGCTGTCCAACCAGGCGTCGATGCACTGTGCATGCAGTCAGAAGGAAGGCAAACGGGAACAAGAGCAGCGGGGAATCAGGATGCATACCACGTCAAGTTGGTCCAAGCAGGTATCGATCCACTGCAGTGCATGCAGTCAGCAGGTGCAGGGAAGACAACAAAGGCTGAAAATAAATCAAAACGAAAACCCGCCCAAACATGCCGCGATACACTGTGAAGGGAGGAAAACAAGTGGGAGCAGCAGAAGATCAAGAAAGCGAACTCGCCCAAAAACGCAGCGATGCACTGTGTATGCAGTCAGAAGGAAGGCAAGAAAGCAAGTGGGGGCAGCAGAGAATCAGCACGGTATCTCGCCCAAACATGAAGCAATTTCACTTTTCTTGTAGTCAGAAGTAAGGCAAGAAAACAAGCGGCAGCAGCAGAAAATCAATAGGCTATCTAACTCGCCCAACCAGGTATCGATGCACGGCAATCAGAAGGCACCAAAACAAGCGGAATCCGACCGCATGTAACTCTTACACGCAACACACATGTCTGCACTTGTGATGAAGAGCAGCGCACCTCTGCGTGGTACGTGTGACGACAGGGCAGCCGGCACAAAACGTCGCCCTCGGCGTATTCCCCGAAGCATATGATGCACGACTCACTACAAGACCACAGCTCGGAAAGTCTTCCGGTCATTCCTATGATGTGTTGGCAGCGCGGGGGGGCAGGGTGAGAGTTGGGGGTCAGGGTTAGGGGGGGGGGTCGCAGAAGGGATGTCCATTGACGTGAACGCGGGGACAAAAGACGCCTGGGGAGGTGGAGGGCGTGTGTGGGCACAGGGGATGCCGATTGAAGTGGACGCAGGACCAAAGACGACTGCTTCAGGCGCGCGCCTTGCCACAGGAAAATTACGCCTATGGCACGCTTCTTGAGTGAAAAAATCGATGCCTTGTTTCTCGACGGTTTCGAGCACTAAGTGGACCGAAGCTCAAGTGCCGTACCCTGTGTGAGACTCATCAGAGAAAGGAAAAAAAAAACGGATGCATTCTACCCGCCTACAAATGAGTTTTGTTGACGTCTGTGCGAACGCTGCGTGGTTGGTTCATCAGGCGGGAACAAGCGGGGCCGTTCGCTGTTCTCGAGAGCATGTCGTACAACAACCGCGAGCCATACCTACGACACGCAACTGCAGGTGACATAAGTCATCAAGCACCCTGGACCGACCTTCAAAGCTCGATCAAAGCAGCGGCAAGGACGGCGGCGACGAGAACGGCGGCGTTGAAGCCGTCCCTTCGAGAGCGTTTCGAAACCGTACCGTTTCATTTGTGCATCCTCTTCGTCGTGGATGAATCGGGCTTTGAAAATCGGTCCAGGGGGTGTGTTATCTTGTGTCACCCAACGCAATCTACTTGTATGCGTACCTCTCTCGCGGACATCCTTATCATCGAACTCCCCCCCCTCTAGCGGCGGCCGCTTTTCAGGCCCCGCCACGGAAGGCTTGCTGCCAGACCCCCCCCCGCCGCATTCATCGCTGTTAGCGACGCCCCCACCGCAGCAGCTTCCCCTGATCGCGCTTTCTCCCTCGTCACGACCCGACGCCTTCCAAAGTCCACACAAATTCGCCGAAACAGCGCAGCACCAAAGTGATCGGGTGGGGAGAGGGGCGAGGGCATCCGCGGAAGCACAAGTCAGCGGAAACACTTAACACCTGTGTGTCCTTTGGATGACGAGATGAACATTATCAAGAACGCCCACGCGAAGATAGTGCGATGGGTGTAGCACGCTACACAACAAGAGCCACAATGCGCGCGTTGTGGACAGGACTGCCCTCCCAAGCGGGGGAGGGCGCCGCCGTAAAGAGAACCGTCTCGATGAACGCACAGGCAGCATGGCGTCAAAAAAGGCGTGCAACATGTGTAGCCCGAGAACGCGCAGGCGCTTCGGCGATTGCTTTCCCCGTTCGTTTCGCTTGACTAGACTGTTGCTCTCTCCCTCTCCATCTCCCTCTCCCTCTCCATCTCCATCCTGCGTGTCTCCCTGTCTGTCCCTCTCTCGTTGTCACCCGCACCCACCAACCCACCCTCTCTTCCGTCTCTGTCTCTACCCCCTTCCTCTCCCTCTTTCTCTGTTCGTCCGTCTCTGCCTGTCTATCTGTTGCTTTCTCTCTCCCCCCTCCCCCCCCCCCCCCCCCCCCCCCCCCCCCCCCCCCCCCCCCCCCCCCCCCCCCCCCCCCCCCCCCCCCCCCCCCCCCCCCCCCCCCCCCCCCC